ACATTAAGAGAGAAGAGGCATGAAGCAAATACAAAAAGTCATCACTGGCCATCATTGAAAAAAGAGGTGAAAATGAGGGGAAACCCAAGAAGCAAAATGGATGCCAAGCTTCACATTAGTAGGCTAGCAAAGAAAGAAGTGGTTGCACCAATGGGCGAACGAAGTGTGAGATTGGACGATATAGTATGAGCATACTACGCTTCGCTAGCTTGTAGTTGCCCAAAAAAAAAACCTTGTTCTGACTTCTAATGGCTAAGCTTGATGGCTTTTCCATTTAGTTTTCTCTAAAGCTAAGATGAGACCCTCTACTAATTGATGTCAAGATGGAGGACAGTTGAAAGTAAAATAATGCCCCAAACATAAATTTTATAGAGCTCATAAATGATATTAATCTTAAAAACTTTTATCTGCAGCATTTAAATTCTAGAGCATAGAATGTATGCAGCATTTAGCAAGGCAGCTAGTGTACAATGTCTGTCTAGGAGGTGAGGTAAAATTCACATAAAATAATCAAAGAATCAACCCAAATTCCTATGTAGCCTTTCATACTGACTAATACCAATCACCTTATCTCGCTTATTCTACGAGTTGTTAACATTAATACCAATTTTTTTATTTCCTGATATTTCCTAGCACTAGTATATATTTTTTCATAATTTTTTATGACAGATTTTTTGCATGCACTAGTGCTACTTCAGAAGGAACTCTACCTCAAAATGAAAAAAATATGACGGGTTAATGTGAATTTCTCCCAAAGCACTGGCCTTGTTTAGAAGCATTCTGAAAACTTACTTGTATCAATTTACGATGAGAAGGATGTAACAGAAATAAAACTTCTTCATAGACATATTTTCATGTAGCAAGTAATATTCGGCATGCAACGGAATTTTAAGAAAAATGAGGATTTAGGTGAAGAAAGAAAAAGGAAGGGAAAATAAAGATTCACATCAAATCCTTTAAGGTATGAATGCTGATTCCTTAAAACATTGGGTTTTCAAATATTCAACACAAGAAAAATAGGAAGACATGACAAAGAATGCAGGATTTTTTCATAAAACTCACCATCACATGTTATTTTTACTAGAAACAAGGGCTTATTCATAGAAATAATTTAAAAATTAAAAGTGCAAAATACCCTCAACTCTTATTATACGAAAGTGATAAAAAATAAAATTTCACATTCAAAAACATCAATAAAATCCAAGCTATCTAGATTATCATCAATTAGACACCAAATACTAGATTGCATCAATTCCCATGGGATGAAGAACTCCCATTCTAAGAGTATGAGTGGAGAAATTTCTCCAGACTAGTAGCAATGCACTCCATTAAAAAATCATTGCAGCATTTCTATGTTGTTGCTAAGCATATGTAGTAGAAATAGAAACACACCCTGATAAGCATAAACTCCACACTATCACGGAGTACAATCAAACTTCAAATTTATTGTAGTGTCTTTTGGTAGAAATGTAAGAGATCATTACGAAAATCTCTGCAATTAAAAGAAGAGGGCCTCTCTTCATATTTCTATAGTTATTCATTGATAGAAATAGAAGCACACCCTACCATGAAAGATCATCTTAGCTTCTATGAGCTTTCATCGCCGTTTGCCAATGGTGAGGCTAATGACTAGTCTTCCCTCAGGCTCAAGGGGGCACTCAAGGTCAAACAAGAAATGATGCAAATATAAAAAATAAAATAAAAACAATGGAGACAACAGTTATCCATTCAGCTATAATTTCTCAATCAGGTCCATTTTGTGTACTAGCCGAACAATGACATTGCAAAAGTAAATGCTACCTGATGGACACTTGAGGAACTTGATCTTTGCTTCAAAAGAATCAAGACTGGAGGCTCACATACATCCTATCATCAAATCATATCAATTATTGTTACATCTAGAGTACTGCATGCAACTTCATAAGGGTCCATATGCTTGAACTGATCCTAAGCTTCACAACAAAGGAGACATGGTATCCTTGGTCATACCCCCTTTAGCATTTTCTTGAAGCATATCAAAAGTAATCCCTCCAGACTTCTCTACAAAGTGAAGAGTTGCAAAAGTGGAGTCTATCAGTGTGTCAATGATTTATGATAAACATGCACTCGAAGGCGATTTTCAATATTTGTTAACCGCAAGCTAATTTCTTTCAAGGCAACAAAGGTAGTTGCTACTTTTTCATCCAAATTATTTAACCTTGCATGAAAATCCTTAATTGAATAATTATTATCCTCCATTCAAAACAATTGTCTAGCTTGATGTCTGCAATTATGTTGTGCTTCCTTTTCAAAATGTAGGACTTGTTAAAATGCCAAAATACTTCACTAAATCTTTGTTCTACCACAAAATGTAATAGATCTAGACTGGATTTGGATGGTAGAATCTATGGAAAAGAGCAAAGAATGAAGTTAGCACAGATGTTGTGATAGGACCATGGAGCACCAATCGAAACATCAAATCTATATGGTTTGGATCGATTGAGAAGGGTAACAACCTTGCCGTTGAGAGGAAAACTGGTAATGGAACAAGATGATTAGTTTATAGTTGGTATTTGGCGCCAGTGTATAGATTTAGTGAAGGCTATTATGGCAGGCGAGATCTTGAGTGTGGAAAAGCAGCAAAAGAAACCTATGCGCACTCCTCGATGGACTTCCAAAAGAAAGCTGGTACAATCTTGTGTGGCAACGGCAAGTAGGATCATTGATGATGGATCACCATATTGGCGAAGGACAACGACAGGGAGCTCGACATGAGTTCTTAATGCATTTCTTGAGACACAATTGATGGACCATTGTGCTTGTCGGGATCTATTCCATGCAATTGTAGCTTTCTAATTGTGAAAAGCAAAAATGGATCTAGTGTGTCAATCTTGATTGCAGCTCTAGCCTATCGATCTGGATGGTGGATCTAAACATGATGGAGATCCGAGACGAAGGATGAAAATGCCTTTGAGCCACTAGTAATGGTACAAAGTAACGAGCAATGTCAATGGAACAACCACAACGTGGAAGAAGCAAAGAAGAAATTGCTAGATTGTGATTTAAGAAGGCATGACGTTATATATATATATATATATATATATATGAAAGTTCCTAATCAATGATGAAGTTATTGGATGCAACGACTCTCGGACAGAGGATAACGAAATGGATAGCAGAACAATGCAAGTCAACAATTTGAGTAAGGAGGTGAGGATAGGTTTCTTGAAGAAGCAGATGGACAAGTCCCACCGAGAAGAATATGATATGTTGAATGGTGCAATGAAAACAACATTAAAAGGATCTTAAATCTTATTAAAGAATTTTGAACTACTCTAAACTCCAAAATAAGAAAGAAACTTATTCATTTTCATATTTTAATCCTCCCCTAAATGGGGGTATTTATAGAATACAATGCTAACATATACTAACTAATTACATCACAACTAATAACTACTCAAAACAACATACGGATTAATGGTGGGTCACAATATTTCTTGACCAACAACAACCTTGCCCAGAAGGTTGAACTATAAATGATACTAAAAAAGCAGTGGAGATAGTAGCTATAGATTCAACAACGTCTCAAGTGGGTCTATTTTATGTGTTCGCCATCCATTCAGCAAAAACCTCTCAAGCGGGTCTATTTTATGTGTTAGCCATCCATTCATAAAAAAATAAAAAATAAAATAAAAAATGATTGATGAGCACTTAAGGAACTCGATCTATGCTTCGAAAGAATTAAGAATGGAGGCATGCACATATATCATATCATCAATAATCATATCAATCATTGCTACACCTAGAGTAATGCAAGGAATCTCATAAGGAAGTTTATCATTGAATTGGTCATGAGCTTGACAAAAAGGACACGTGTCCTTGAACAAAATTTGAATAACATAATTCGGTATTGAGGTATTATCTCTCTATAAGCCGAGGAGTAAGCCTTGAGCAATTCAGAGGCATAAGCCTCAAAATAAGACTATTAAATTAATGAAAATAAGCAATAAAAAGTACGATACTAAAATTAAAGCAAGATGTTAAAAAATCAAAGTAAGGCAGTAAGTTATACAAGGCTAAAAAAAAGCAAAAAATAGTCTCTCCTAGTCCGACTTGAATATAAATAAGAAGTCTAAGGTCATAATTTATGAATTCAAAAGTCCACACATTATCATTAGTTAGAGGATCCTCATTAGGATCAATGTTGTAATTAATTACTTTCTCTTCTCTGCATACTAAAAATAAGAAAATGGTTTCCAACAACAAGTAAAGGCATTGGATGAGAAGCAGTGATGCCTCAATAGTGACAACAACGTAATAGAATTGGTTGTTGGCTTTAGGGTCCTACAACATGTGCCTGGGAGTTTGAGGTCATGTGATTCTTCTCAATTTTGGTTTGGTTTAGGCATAGTGTGTGTGTGTATATATATATATATATATATTTTAAAATTACCTAAATCCTAATTTTGAGGCTTAGGCCTCTTCAAAATTATGTTGAGGCATCCTTGAAGAGTGCCTCAACCAAATTGAGACATAAACCTCATCTGACAAATGTGAGGCATATGCCGCATTGCCAACATGCAATTGAAGGTACTTTCTACGATTTGCTAAGTTCAAACTAATTTCTTCCAAGAAAACATACGTAGAAGCTACCTTTCAATCCGAACTATCCAGTATTGTAAAGAAATCCTCAATTAAGCAATTGTCATCCTCCATTTTAAAAAAATTGTCCTGCCCGATGTTTTCAATTATTTGGTGCTTCTCTTTCAGAAAGCAGAACTCGATCACATGCCAACAATACTTAATCGAATCTGGGTTCAGCGAAGAATATTAATAGACCTGGAGGAGGAATCTGTGAAACGTGGTGGAGGAAGGGGCAAAGATGTGAATTGCACTCTCCAGAAGAGAAACAAAACCAGATTTAAGAAATTCTCTAATGAAATTAAACTGGAAACCTAGACAGCCAAATTAAAGAGGAAACCCAATCCAATCATTAAAGAAAATAGAGAAATCGATCTCACCGGACCAAAGTTTGTGGTGGTATTGATGGTAAGAAGGGAGATTTCATCGACCTTGGGACGAAACACAGCCAGTTGCGCACCCTTGTTGGCGAGAGGGAGGCGGCTATCGCAAGGGGAGAGCTGAGTACTATTGAAGAAGAAAGAATCGCGATCTGAGAACGCGATGCCGAATGTGAACCCGTCCCGCCGCTGGATCTTCGCGTCCGCACAGGGCTGAAACACGGGATTCTCGTCCCGGGCCTCAGCTGAGATCGAACACAAGTACAAAGCCAGGATCGCCGTTGTCACGGCCAGAACATTCGCATTTCCCGACATTAACATCGCCGGCAAGTCGTTTTTTTTTCTCGCTGCGGCGATCGATTTCGGGGATGAATTTTTGCGGATGTTAGAATTTTCGTTCCGGCGAACGATCTCAGGGTCAAAAAAGTTGCGGATTTGGGATCTCACTAGGCGAACGATCTCAGGGCCTGTTTGTACGCCGGATTTGAGTAAAATTCTGCAAAACGCCAACAAACGCAAAATTAGATCTCACGGTTTCGTCGGATTTACGGGATTTGTCCGACAAAGCGCGCGAAAGAGGAGAAATATCGTTACCTCCGTTTTGCCTTCCAATCCAACAGGCGACAAGAACAACGTCGTCGAAGAAGAAGGTGATGAAGCTTTCTTTAGCGACTCTATCCAAAACCCACTTTCAGGCCAAGCACCCGACGCGGAAGCAGTCAAAAAAATATGAGCAAGGGCCTTATAAGATTAGAGGTAAAATAATTTTTTTAATTTTTTATTAATTTAATATTTAATTGATGAATAATTAACTATAATATTATTATATAATAAATATAATTATAATTGATAAAAAGTGTTTAAATAACAAGTAATAATATTTAATCTTATAAATTAAATACAAATAATTTTTAATCTCTATTAGGGGTGTCAATATTTGACACTACACGACAACCCGACCCAGAAAATCCGGGTTGGACCCGACCCGGTCCGGGTTCGCAGATTCAACCCGTTTGATAAAATGGGTTGGGTTGGGTTGACCCGGCGCGTTGCCGGGTCAACCCGAAAACTAGTTTATTTTAAAAAATTTTGAATTTCCCGCTGCCCCCGCTCGCGCTGCCCTCTGCCTGCCTGCCCCGCGCTGCAGCCCGCGCTGCCCCACTACCCCGCTTGCAGTGCCTTACGTAAATATATATATATATATTTGAGAGAAATATGCTTCAAAATTAATTATTATTTTGAAATTTAAAAAGAACTTTTTTCTTATAATATGAATTAATAATTTGTATAAAGATGTAAATACACATGTAGATGATTTTGACTTTTTAAAATAAGTTTTGTATAGAATGATTTTTAATTTGAGAAACTTAAAAAAATTAATGGGATTTAAAATTAGTTTTCTATTTATTTTGAAAAACTTTCTATGTAAACAAATTATGCCAGTTTATGCACAAGCCTTTAAATGTGAGTTTACTTAAAAGACTTCTTCATTACATTAAAGCCACATAGGATTTCAGCATGCTTGTTCAACCGAGTCCCCTTAATTTGCATGCTTCTCTGATTTTGATTGGGCTGGTGATGCTACTGATCGAAAATCTACGACAGGCTATTGTGCCTTCCTAGGAAACAATCTCATTTCCTGGCAAGTTAAGAAACAAAAGATGGTAGATCGTTCATCCACAAAAGTTGAGTATCATTCACTTGCTACAGTTGTCGCAGATTTGATATGGTTGAAATATCTCCTTTAAGAATTTTGCATTAATATTGATGCTCCTATTCCTTTGCTTTGTGATAACGTATCAGCCATTGCACTTGCTAACAATCGTGTTTTTCATGCTTGGACAAAGCATATTGAGATCGATTTTCATTTTATTCGGGATTGTGTTTAGAATCGAACCGTACTTATTCACCATATCAACTCTTTTGATCATGAAGAACAAGAAAACAGAGAGAGGGAGAAACGAGAAGACGTGAGCTGGAAAACGAAAATAAAGTTCTGTTTCTTATTCAATGCTTCTGGTACAAAGCTAATGACATTATATAGACAATACATAAAGCTTAGGCTAATCATAAGATGCCATCGATCTGTCCTTTCTTTACAGAAATATATTTATATTTATTTAGTTATACTAATATCCCCCCTCAAATTGATGGGTCTTTGAGTAACAGTCAATTTGTCGCGAAGAAGCTTGAACCGAGGTGTAGGAAGATGTTTGGTGAAGATATATGCTATTTGATCCACCGTGCTGATAGGAAGAAGACGAACATTGTGTTGATGGATATGATCACGGACGAATTTTTGGTCTATCTCTATGTGTTTGGTCAGTGCATGAAAGACGGGGTTGTTGGCTAGGGCTATGGCAGACGTATTGTCACAGTACATGTTAGTTGGCTGATTCTGCATGATGCCAAATTCTGCAAGAAGACGTCGTAGCCATATGACGTCGGAAGTGAGAGCGGCAAGGGATCGATACTCGGATTCAGTGGAAGATCTGGCAACCGTGTGTTGCTTTTTAACAGTTCATGAAATAAGCGAGCTGCCGAGGAATGAACAATATCCGGAGGTGGATTTTCTTGAATGCGGATCACCAGCCCAATCAGCATCTGAAAAGGAATTGAGAACAAGATCAGTTTTATTTATAGGAATGCCGTAGTCAAGGGTACCTTTGATGTATCGAAGTAGTCGTTTCAAAAGGTAGACATGTTGAGGTAACGGGTTGTGCATGTGTTGCGAAAGTTGATTTATGCTAAAGGCGATGTCGGGTCTGGTTAATGTCAGATATTGCAGAGATCCAGTGATTTTTCTGTAAACGGTTGGATCGGAGAGAATAGGATCAGGCTGAAATTCATTAGGAAGCTTTGCGGTAGTTGGATTTGAAATGGCATTGCATCCTGTTATAGCAGCCTGTTGCAAAATGGAATAAGCATAGAGCGCCTGGGATAGGAAGAAGGATTGCTCGGACCGGTCAATTTGTATTCCAAGAAAATTATGAACATCACCGAGCTGCTTTAGATCAAACCGAGTACTAAGTTTCTGAATTATTGAAGAAATGGCCTGCACATCATTACCAGTAACGAGTATATCGTCAACGTAAATTAGAAGAAAAATTTGTATGTGATTGAAATTATAAATTAACAAAGATGGATCGTCATTACTGTGAGAGAATTCGAGAGAAGTAAGATAAGTACTGAAAGTGTTATACCATTGGCGAGGGGCCTGTTTTAGGCCATATAGAGCTTTATGAAGACGACATACAAACTTCGGGTGAGAGGTGTCCTCAAATCCTTTGGGCTGCGTCATGAAGACGGTGTCCGTGAGCTCACCGTGGAGAAACGCGTTGGCGACGTCGAGTTGCTGAACAGGCCAGTTGTGATGAATGGCAAGTGCAAGAAGAATACGAATGGTGGGGAGCTTGGCTACGGGACTGAATGTTTCGGTGTAGTCAAGCCCAAACTCCTGATGGTTGCCGAGAGCAACCAAGCGTGCCTTGTATTTAGCGATCTAGCCATCCGCATGATGTTTTATTCGGTAAGTCCATTTGCATCCAAGTACATATGCATTTCTTGATGCAGGAACCAAGCTCCAGGTTCCTTGGCGCTGCAAGGCGAAAAATTCATCAGCCATGGCCTTGCGCCATTCAGGCATTTTGCTGGCTTCAGTATAGCTGGTAGGAGCAATTTGGTTAGTATGAATATGTGCAAGATTTAAACGTTGGAGAGGCTTCAGCGAGCCTGTCTTAGTCCTCGTGAGCATATGATGTCTGCTGGGAGCTGAAGGAATTAATTCTGTGGACATGGGTTGGGAATGCAGCGGTTGAGAAGGAATAGAAATATTTGATGGAATAGGAGCAAAGGAGTTATCTGTAGGAATGGAATTGGCCAGAGAAACGGGTGTTAGAAAAAATTCAGAGAGAGATGGTTCAGTGTTGGCAACAGAATTAGATTGGCTATTGGCAAAAGGAAAAGAATTTTCTTGAAAGATAGTATGACGAGAAATAATAATTTTGTTGGTGACACGGTCAAGGCACTTGTACCCTTTGTACGTATCAGAATAGCCAAGAAAAACCATTGATTTGGACTTAGGTTGAAGTTTATGACGATGAGAAGAAGGTATGAGAGGGAAGACTTCACAACCAAACACTCGAAGATGACTGTAATCAGGGAAGGTTTTATGCAAGATTTCGAAAGGCGTACGATTGTTAATAGTTTGGGATGGCATACGATTGATAAGGTAGACCGAAGTAAGAACCGCGTCAGGCCAGTAGGTGTATGGAACAGACGCCGTGGAAAGAAAAGAACGAGTTGTTTCAATAATGTGCCGGTGCTTGCGTTCAGCGACCCCATTCTGTTCGGGAGTGTATGGGCATGAGAGCTGATGTGTGATGCCATGAGCTTGAAGAAACGTACGAAGAGTGTGGTTGACGAATTCGGTACCACCATCGGATCGCAAGGTTTTTATTCGTTTAGAGGTATAATTTTCAATTTGATTTTTAAACGAAATGAATATATTATATACTTCAGATTTGCAATGCATGATATTAGAGACTTCAGATTTGCAATGCATGGGGAAAATCCAGGTGAACCGAGAAGCATCATCAATAAACAAAACGTAGTAGCGGTATCCCTGTATAGACGAGACAGGGGCAGGTCCCCACACATCAGTATGAATCAACTCAAGAAGAGATTTACAGTGAGTAAGAGAATTGGAAAAAACTACTTTATGAGCTTTAGATTCATTACAAATATGACAAGCAGTTAACTGTTTTCCAATGTGTAATTGCGGGTTTGCTAAAGAAATAAAATGCATAGTATGATCATTCGGATGACCAAGCCTTTTGTGCCATGGCAGTGGCTTATTTGTTGTGGCCGAGAGCGCTTGAATGGAAGAAGACGTCGGGTTCTTGGGAAGAGGGTAGAGACCGTTGCTACAGGGTCCGCGAAGTAGAACTCTTTGCGTCTTCAGATCCTTAAAAACGAAACCAAACTGATCAAATGTAATGGAAATATTATTGTCCTTAGTAAGCTGAGAAATTGATAAAAGATTGAACTAAAAAGAAGGTGAGTGAAGAATTTGAGACAGAATATACGTACGAGATGGGGTCGGCAACAGTCCGTCACCGGAGTGACTTATGTTAACCGATCGCCCATCGCCGATCGTGACGGCGTCAGAACCTGTATATTGGCTTGCAATGGACATATTGTCTATGGAGTTTGTTAGATGAGTAGTTGCGCCAGAATCTAAAAACCAATTTGGGGAGGAAGTTTCTGTTGCAGCAAGAAGAGCTTTCTTGGGTACGTATTGGAGATTTGAGCGGTGCCAACAATTTTGCGCCGAGTGACCCTTCTTTAAGCAAATTTGGCAGCTGACAGCGGGATTTGCAGAGGTTCTGGTCGATGTGGTGTTCGGGTAAGACGGACTTCTTCCATTTGTGCGACGTCCACGTCCTTTTGACGAATAGAGTGCGAAGTTCGAATCAGTGGGAGCAAGATCTTTGGCAGCTTCAGTGGTCACGTGAATCTCTTCGCTCAATAGAAGCGGATAGAGATTGTCCAGACTGATTGGGTTAATCATGGTATGAATTGCAGTCTTAAAGGACTGATATGAATTCGGTAAACCTTTCAGGATGTATAAAATAACGTCCTCACTGTCTACAGAAGAACCTGATGCAGCGATTTGATCAACAATTTTCTTGATCTCGGACAGGTATTGCGTCATCGTTTGGTTCTTGAGCGCCACGTTATGTAATTCGTTTTTCAATTGTATCACTTTTGATCTGTTCGTTGCCTGGAATCTTGCTTCAAGAGTGGTCCAGATTTGAGCAGTAGTCTCAAGATTTATTACGTATGGAAGAATAGGAGATGAAATAGTGGAGCAAAGCGCCGCAACAAGATTTTGGTCAGTGACGATCCACTGATTTACAGTGGAGTCACCGGTGAATGTACCTTCGGTCTGATTTTCTGATCCTTGAGGAGGAAGATTCTTTGGATCAAGAAATTTACTGAACCCGTTGGCTTTGAATATCTTGCTGATCTGCGATCTCCATACAGGGTAGTTGTCGGAGACGAGCTGCGACGGGACGATGTTCTTGAGGTTTGATACTACGAACTTGACAGTAGTAGAGATGTGCGGATCTTTGTCGTTTGTAGCAGATGCCGAAAGATCGTCGAGTTGTGATGTAGAGGATCTCGCCATCGAGGCAAGGGATTAGTTTCCCTGCTCTGATACCATGAAGAACAAGAAAACAGAGAGAGAGGGAGAAACGAGAAGAAGTGAGCTGGAAAACGAAAATAAAGTTCTGTTTCTTATTCAATGCTTATGGTACAAAGCTAATGACATTATATAGACAATACATAAAGCTTAGGCTAATCATAAGACGCCATCTGTCCTTTCTTTACAGAAATATATTTATATTTATTTAGTTATACTAATAGATCAATTGGCTGATATATTCACTAAACCGTTACCTATTAAACGGTTCAAAGATGGACAAGAGTGTCATCTTGAGGGGGGATGATATGCCGAACTGATCAGCCGTTAGTACTGCTCTGTCCGGCCTCCTCCTACAACACTATGTGCCTCAATTTGTGTGTTTCACAGCAACACTTTTACATAGCAAATCAGAGCCATTGTTGTCTAACTAACACTCATCTCACCGTTAACTTAATCTCTGATTTGGAGAGAGATATATATTGCTTATAGTAGCAGGATGTTTTCAATGAGAAAAATCACTTGGTGTTCTAAGGCTTTGTTTGGGACGGCTTTTTTATTGCTTTTTAAAACGGAGTTTTAGTACAATTTTTTTTTTGTACTAAAACTCCGTTTTAAAAAGCAATAAAAAAACCGTCCCAAACGAAGCCTAAATTCTTCTCTCAGTTTTCTCTGCTTTCATTCTAACGTTTATGCTACAGGTTTCAAAACTACAGCTCATTCAATTGACATTTTAAATTACATCGCTTGCATGAAGTTTTTTAATGAGAATAACTAATAATATGTTTTTCAATCTGTAAATAACTTTAACAAGTTTATTTTGATTGATATTTTAGGCTTTCCCGTCTCCCCATCGCAAGCAAAGCAAATTGTTTCTGAAGAAAGCTTTCTTTTACTCCACTGCTGGAAATTCCTAACGCTGATCCTAAACTTGACATCTCAAAGGTCTGGAAGAGAGCTAAAGTCGAGTTTCGTTTGGGACAGCTGAGATCCGACGCCTCTTTTATCTTATATTTTGTTTGGGTCGACTTTTTTGTTGCTTCTTAATTCAGCTTTTTAGTATAAAAATTTTAATTTCTTATAAAAAACCTGTTTTAATAACCAACAAAAAAATCGTCCAAACGAAGTTTTAATCATGGAAACTGACGTGATGCTCTATCAGGTGCTTTTCTGTTCGGGCGGGCGTTTCACGGAGGATGTTTTGTTTTTATTTGTTCTGATGATGATGATTTTGCTGTTTTCTTAGATTGCTTTGTTTGAGAATCCAGCGATAAAAAATGCCGTCGTGCTCTCGGAGGTTTATTATAGGATCAAGGCTCTCTGCACCAATGCTACGAAGAGCTTCTTCGTTTTCTACAGCGAGAATCATAGGTAAGTATAAAGCTCTTTCTGCAACTTCCTGTTCATTAGTAGTTGTGCTTAATCTGCAATAATTTTTTTTTTGGAGGAATGTACGAACTTGATAAAATTTTGTCTTTTGGTTTAATTCAGGGATGCTTATGTGGAAGAGAAGGTTGAGAAGATCTGTAATTTTGTTAAACATTTATTGTGGCTCATAAAGAAAATATTTCTGTTTTTAGAGGAGTCGTATGTAAGGTCTCTTCAGCAGCCTAATTTGCCGGACTTGGTTGCCATCCCAACATCTCTAAACATTTTGAAGGGAGAACTCGATGATCTAAGACTATCAAAGCGGGAAGTCATCTACCCAGAGGTATAATGATCATCCCATAGACGATTTCTTTCTTTAATATGACCAGAGTTTTCATTTTTTATGAAGCTTGACTAATATGCTGAGGATATTTATTTATGTTCATATCTTGTTTTTCCTTTCTTATACAAAGCACAAACTTGCGTTAGAGATTACTTCTGGCCTGCTCCATGGAATATACCATAAAGGAAGGTTTCGAGTTAACCGTTACAATCCATTAGTGGGCTATGTTGGTGATGAGATAGCAATTTGTGATAAGGTTAACATAAATAAGGCTTTTGGTGGAGATATTGTTGCCGCAGAGCTCTTGTGCCCTCAATACCAGCGGACTGAGGAGAATTCCTTGATTGTTGAGGATGTTAATGGTGTGTTTAGTTATGCTTAATATTGATTATGCTTTACCCAAATTATCAGCTTTTAGGTGAAGATGAGGAAGATGATGTTCACGTTGTTCCAGGTAATGTTGATGATGCTCCAAGGAATGCAAATATAGCAAAAGCTTGGGCTGGATTTAGACCTAATGTTTTCACCTTGCTCATTTGGCAATGTCATTGGTATTATAAAGAGAAATTGGAGCTCGTAAGTTGAAAAAACAAATCTAGTTCTACTATTTTAAGACTGGTCTATTTTTGTTATATTGAGTAGCTGATATTATTTTGAACTACTACTAAAGGACACCCAAATCTATTTCTACTATTCTAATACTGGATGGACGCAGAAACTGATGATCCTCTGAATATTGGTAAGCAATTATTATTGTAAGCACTGACTAAATATTGCTATTTACTTTTGCTTTGTGCTGAATGTTAGTTCCTTTTGGCAGGAATTTATCCAATTAGAGAGGCAAATCAGATGATTGAAGAATTTATGTTGGCTTGCAATTTTTCTATTGCCAAAATGATATTGAAGCATTTTCCATCGTGTTTATTGCTGCGGTGTGCCACGTTAGCTTTGGGTGGAATCTGAGTGTATCCATCAATCAAGTTGTACTGCTACACCTTACCTTAATTACAACAATCGAGCTCATCGGGGGTCCTCCACCCTGCTTGAGTTTTGGAGTTTTGTACATTAAAAAGTTTTTCCCGTACAACATTGTGATGCTATATACCCGAGTATTATGACAAAATATAATGAGAGTGGAGTGCCATGGCACTCTAAACCCTAGTATTGTGTGGTGCCAGACCTCGATGCTATCAAGCAGAGTGGAGATAGAGAATGGAGTTCCACAACACTCTAAAGTTAGCACCGTGGTGCTGCGAGTTGGGCTAACTGTTTTTTTACTTAATGGTTGTAGCTCTTTGTAGTTTTTAGCGAGTTTCTCTTTGTTTGTTTGTATGAGAACGGTGTAAGGGTGTACAGAGACAAGGAGAGAGTGAGAGAATTATTTTTAGAAGCAGTGAGAAAGCCGTCCTAAACGAAGCCTTAGCCATATTCATGATAGATTAACATGCTATATTTAGTTTAAATCATTTTCTTCTATTTGTGTACCTACTGAGAATTTGGGCCCTAATATCTTATTTCTTCTCCTAAGTTCAGATTTCTTTAATTCCCTCATATCTAAAGGGAATAAAATAAATAGAAGGAATTCAAAGGAACAAGGAAGACCATTATGAAATTCATCATCAAATTGGCATCAATTCAATTCTTCTTTTCTATATAATTGATTTAAAAACTTTTTTATGATTATTTTATCTAAACATTGGCTTAAAGTGGTCATTTTCTTTCATCAATTACCAAGACATTGACAAAATCAACAAAATTGACGTGTAGGTTGCATTGATTATTACTATAAGATACCTCATAAACATAAAAATTTTCCTACGAAGTTATAAAATTTTCATTATTGACTTTGAAATAATTTTTAATTTGTTGTCATATTTCATCAAGTTTGACAATAGTATATTGGATATAACTTAAATGTGGTTGGATTATATGACTCATTTGATTATAATTTTCAAACATCATTTATTATACATAGCTATAGTTATTAGAAAAAAATGACTTATGATAGGTTGGAATATTACATAAAATTACTAGACCATAATCATATTATCAGTGGTGATTCATTAGTAATATTCACCATACTAGATCAAATAGTACTTATCTTCAAATTTTATAAATCCGCAAGACATACTAGATTTGTCTCATTTTATTACTTTCAATTTTATATAATGATCAAATGTTTCATGAAGGATGAAGAATATGAATATCTTCAATATAGGTATTACGATAATTATTTGCGTGACTATCATCTCCTTTCAAATTCAAAATCATCTAATCATTATGATAGAGTCTTATTATACATCAAATTCACAAGCTCTAAAGATTTCTATCAATTTCAAATGTTGACACAAACATATAAAGTAAAAAAAAATGGAGACATCACAATGTAATGATGAGAGGCAATTTGACATATGCCTTCAGTGAGATAAATGAAGAGCAACAAAGGAATATTGATGAAGCAATTCCTCCAGCTTTCTTAAAAAAATAATAATAAAACGACTAAAATAATTATATATTTTATTTCAATATCTTATTATCAATATAAATATACAAATAACATTAAAAATTAATTTACATTAATAAATTAATAATAATAATAGTAATAATAATAATATTCATATTTACAACCAATATTATCATACCTTATTCTTCTAAAATCAAGAGTGTTTCTCACATCTTATAATGAATGTCAGCACCAAAACTACATCACTATTAGTTTTCTAGTTTCCTCCTTATAAAGTAGTCCATATATGTAATTTTTTTAATGAAAACCTGAACTTCTAGCTCACAAATAAAGAGGAATTTTTAGCTGTTTGCCCACAAAATTTCCCTCAGATTCTTTTGACAATCCAGTTTTCTCTTTTTATAGCATTGGAAGATGGTTAGCCACACCCAAGCCCTTGCGCAGAAATAATCACATAAGTAAAAAATTACCCTTTGCAGGTGTTTACATGCAAAAACTTCGCTAAACACAACAAAAATGACAAACAAAACAACGAAACAAGATCCAACATAAACTTCAACAACACGTAAAAGACGTGCATTATATCAAAGTAAACAAGGCAAGGAGCTATGTAACTCCACAAATTACTACCATGGTCATCAAAAAGTAAGAGACTAGTAACAAAACAATCAGGTCAATCAAGGCGGCCTTATTGCTGAGCGCACTGCACTCTCTGAGCACCGCCATGCATGTCCTCGTCCTCATCATATGCCTCCTGAGCTTGAGTTTGCTGCTTCCTCCTCATCTCCTCCTCCATGTTCACATCATGCAAGGTCGTCTCTTCGCACTCGTCAAGCTCCATGTCTGTAAGCTGAGTTCGGGTCCTCGCAGGAAGAATCGCCTCGAGAGCTTTGCACTGGTCTGGATTCAGCGAGTCCGGGAATTCGACGTTGAAATGGATGTAAAGCTTGCCTTTCATGAATGGCCTCTGGTACATCGGCATGCCCTCATCATTGATTGCCTTGAATTGATCTGCAGATATTATAACATGAACATAGTACATAGGTGAACTAACTGTCTCATGAATTGAGTTAGTAGCTATAAATATGAATATGAAATGATCTTAAAAAAGATTACCAGGCTTGACAACTTCTCCAGGGTTTGATTTGATAAGAAGCTGCCTGCCATCGAGATGGGTCAGCACGAAGCGGAAACCGCAGAGGGCATCTGTAAGGAAGAGAGAGTGCTCAACAAAGAGATCGTCACCCTTTCGTTTGAACTTGGGATGGTCCTTTTGTTGCAGTACAAACACGATGTCGCCCGTGATACAATCAGGCTACAATTATCAAGTGAAAGCAATAAGTCAGCAACAGTTTAAAACGTGGTACCGAGTAAACATTTGGTACATGGCAAATTTTTAAGTGTGCCACAAAAAAATTAAGACATGAAGAGAAATAGGTTAAGTGTATGATACTAGAAATTATTTTCAATCTACTGGTAAAATGACGCAAGAATTAAATTTTGGTGGTCACAGGAAAAAAGAGAAATGAAAGAGAAACAAAGCTTGCATAATAAAAGTGGTAATTTCATCCATAAGGGCATCTCCAACCGAGAACATCATTTTTCACGGCAAAATACAACAAAACTCCAAAATGCCATAATTCTGCTCCAATCGAACTCCATTTTAGATGCTTCTGCGAAGGTAACGACCCTTCTCCACTTTCGCGCGTTTTTTCGCCAAATCAGGTTGAGAGAGCAAAATAGCGTGGGTGAACAACGCAAAGCCAATATTGACGTCGCACTGTTCACCCGTAAGTAAATGGCAAAAGATTTGACGTCCGGATGGAGCGACTGAATGACGCCATACTCACTTTTGGCGTTCGGTTGGAGATGCTCTAACACTAATTTGCAAAATTACTATCTGCATGCCTTCAATTTTAAAATTATACTCAAATCTCAAAATTAACAATAAAATTTCAACCTGCATTTTTGTTTTCATCAAACAACATGAAGCATTTATCCCACTCCGTCCGTAGGCTACAAAAAATCCTTTTCTTTCATGGTGTCATATTATAAGTCAAATTTTCATGGATTATTTCTAACCATGTCTTTTAGGTATATCTCTAGCTTTCTTAACAAAGACCATATCTAATAAATACATCTACTATCCCAAATCGGATCATCAGAAAGCCAACATTTTATCATTTTATGTAACCAAACCATCCATGACGACTCACTCCAATCTTATATGCCATTAGAGCTACAACAACCTTTTCCCATATACAATAATACCATTAGAGGCTCAGCACTTGAATATTTGGCAAGCATTAGATTTTCTTTTATCATCCAAAAAAAAGATCTCCAGGGAGAAAGAAGAGCAAGCAACATACCGCTTCATCGGCCTCACCAGGGAAGGTGATTTTCTGCCCATTCTGCATACCCTTCTCTACGAAGACCTCAAGAACCTTTTTTTCCTGCACAACCTTCTCACCTTTGCACTGTGGACACCGATCCTTGTCATTAATGGTCTCGCCTGTCCCTTTGCATTCATTGCAAGGATGCTGCATCTGTTGAATCATCGATGGTCCCAAATGGCGAATTGAGACTTTCATGCCTGTACCTTCACAACCAGAGCATTTCATTGAAGCACCGGATTTAGATCCCTTCCTGCAAAACATGTAAAATGCCTTTATAAATTAACATAACTTCAGTAGTGAAGTGCAGCAACTCATAGTACTCACCCTTTGCATTTTGAGCAAAGAACATTCCTAGAAAGTGAAAGTTTCTTCGAAGTTCCATTGTACAATTCTTCCAAGGAGACCTTTAATGGATGAATAACATCTTCTCCTCTTTTCTGCCTGCGTCCACGGCTACTGCCCCGATCTTCTCGCCATAATAATCACAGGGAGTAAGAGCGGTATCAAGATCTCAGTTCTCAAAGGGATCAAATGAATAAAGTTTGCTTAAATATATCAAAGCTTACCACCAAAGGGGC